GAATAACAATAAGCATGACATATACACAAGATGAAGGCGATAATGTAAAACTGAGAATTACGACCAGGAGCACAGCATGCAGGCGGTGCGTTTATGACGGAAGAACAAAATTACACATACATGAATGATTGGAAAAGAGTTGAAATAGAGCTCTCCAAAACGAGGTTAGCAAATTGGACCCTGGTCCCGAAGCTGGACGTAATTGCACCACATGCATAGTCAACAGCTAACACCGCAATTTACGCCTACTTTCAAAGCGCTCGGCTTTTTTGTAGACCTCCTTTTTCTATTTTCTGCTTTCACTCTGTGTTTTCTGTGTTTTTCGTAGCTAGGCGCTCTAAGTCAAATGACGACTGATGACGCACGTGGCATGATTGTATCCAGCAGCGGGGATATGGTCTAGTTTGCTTACCTTCTCCGAACTAAGACGAACATCGGCGATCATCATTGAGGCAAAAAAATTGCTATAGCTTCTCAACCGCGCTTGCTTCTACCCAATGGTCAATACGGTATGAACATTACCACAACAATAATTCGCGCTAATGGTTTATATGACACAAAGCATGTTGGCCTCATTCGGACGATGCAGTTGGGTCCAATGTTCTCAACCTTGAGATTAGTTCGTCACAAAGTAACTCACTCGTCGGCGAATCACCGGCGACTATCGCAAATTCCACATGCGATTTTTGTTCCGGAGGCAAAGTAGCGCAGCCGATTTCGACGCCGGTTGAAAGTGATAAACGACGCATTTCTAAAGGTCAACAAATAAGCGAGTACAATTCGAAAAAAATCCAACAAAAGTGAGAAAATGTACTATATCACGTACCCTGATCCATATATACAACCTCATTCGTCTCCTCGAAGCGAATATGCATTTCATTCAAACAATTTTTCAATTCCTGTACTACATCGACTAGAGGAAGAGTGGAGACGAAACTCTGCAACGGTAAAAATCGATAGTAGCTGAAGAACACGGATCAGTGGCACCAAGATATAGTTAACCCATTGGGTACCGCATGCTGCACCATGTGCAGCACGCTCGTTTGCCTCTGTATGGCCGCGTGCTGCACATGGTGAAGCACGCTTCGTTTGAACTTATTTAGCATTGTTAGATGATTGAAAAGAGTCGGTATATTCCTGAAGTCTTCTGGGACAAAATATGTGTGGGGAAACTGCGGGATTGAATAAGAGCTAAGTTACTGACATTTTCCGAGAAATACCTCAACTATTATATTCTTTGTTTAATTCTCATTTACCGATAAAACCGAAATCCTGGTTATAACACGACTGAAAAATTGTAAAATGGTGTGAGTGAACAGCTTCTAAGCACACTGCGTCACTTTTTCAACTCCTCTTAATTTTATCAAGCTTTTTTGGCTAGTTTCGCATTTTTCGGCTCATCACTTTTATCACGTAACAATATTGAATCCCGTTTAGCATACGTCTACATATAAAAGTGATGCATAATACGATGTGTGTACAATATTTTTATGTTATATGTATAAGATAAAAATCTTATGTGTTTATACTCAGCGCGCCACAAGTCGCGTCGATAAAACGGCGTCGGCCATAGGAGCCGGTTAGCACAAAACCAATGGGTTAAAAATCGATATCGAACTCTGAGAATCGTAATTCGGAAAGAGCGAGTGATTGTCAAACCCACAC